CTGGACGAATATTAAACAGGAGCATCTTTTTGGTGTTGTGTTGATCACTTCTCAAGGTGAAGCCTTGGTTTGGAATGCACGTGATATAAGCAATCAACGATCAAAAACCGAAAATGTGAAAATTCTTATTAAAAATATTATGGATAATGCAGAACTAAAGGGTATAAAAATTAATTGTTTTGTGTCAGATTCTGCTGGCGAGTATGCAGCTACAAGATAAGTATTACTACATATTAATTGACTTATTGCTAAATATAATATAAAATATAATAATCTTTTTTGTTTTTTTTTTTTTATAAGCGTCAGCTAAGAGTAGAATATCTGAATAAGGTTTTTATGCCGTGTATGGTACATCAAATGAACTTAGTTTTGGTGACATTTTTAAGGCATCAGATACATTTAATACAATATCAAAAAAGGCAATACGTATTGTAAGCTATTTTCATATATCCTCATATTTTACCGGATTATTACGAAACGAACAAAGGTCTTTTTATGGACAACCTATTTCTCTTATAACTCCTGGTGAAACATGTTGGAATAGTTTTTACTTTTGTTTTTATTCTGTTTTAAAAACTGAGTTCGCGCTTAAGGTATATAATATTTACTATGATAGCTAAATAAAACTAACAATCATAAAAACAACTCTTTTCTACATTATCATTATTTATAATTAGATGTTAGCTACAAAATTTTCACCAACAAAAATTGGAACTGCAAGTACTTCTCAAAGTGGACTATCATGGCAACGATTTTTATTAGAAAATGCTAATGCAACTAAAATGCTTTCACCTGACATTATATCAATTATACAAGATTCTTATTTTTGGATTCAGCTATATGAACTTCAGAATTTATTATTTCCATTATGTAGTATTTTAAATAAACTCCAAAAAGATATCGTGAGGCTTTTTGAAGTAGTACATTGCTTTGGATGGATTATCAAAGTTTTCGCAGACTATAAAGACAAGCAATTTTCTGATCATATAGTAACCTGATTAGAGAAATAATGGGCACAATGGGAACAACCCTTACTTCTTTTGTCACTTGTTTTACATCTGAAATATAAGCTCTCTAAATTTTCTTCCAATATCTCTGGTCTCTCTTATTCACATTTTGGTCAATGGATAAACTACTATTACTATGTATGGTTTGATGAGATTCCAATACGTATTTTACGTGAGTTTTTACTGTATCAAAGGGAGGAATTTCCTTTTAATAAGGAAACGTATGATCAATTCAAAGAAAATATTATAGATTTTTGGGATTCAGCAAAAGGATTAGCACCAGAATTATCCCGATTGGCTCTACAATTGTTTGGTATTTGTGTTAATACTGCTTCGGTTGAACGCTTATGGTCGTCCATGGGATTTTTATACACAAACCGTCGAAATCGTTTGTCTGTATGTATATTATTTGGCTTTTATAATTTTTATTGCTAAGTTTACTTATTTTATTTTATTTTAGCATAACAAGATATTGGCTATGAGCCAATTGCGCAGTAATATATTAAGCAATAGAAAACGTAGTGAAGTTGAAAAGGATAAACAACAGTATAAGCGAATTTATAATATAACCCCTATTCAACAAGAATTGGCCGAATCTTCCTCATCTAAAAGTAATAATGTAGAAAATGAATTATTAGATTCTAACAATTTATCAACTCAATTAAGCGAAACTTCTGAAATGAATGATGATGTAGTTAATGATATTGAAGAAAATTGGTCGTACACAGTTAAACATGTGATTGGTTTGTTAGATAACGAAAATCAGTTGGATAATGGTAAAATTGTAGATAGCGAGCCACTCGAATTTGAATTGCATGGGCATATTACTCATCCAGTAGATGATCCGTTAGCAAAATGGAGTTTGTTGGAATTATTTTATGATTCATTAGAAGCACTTGTTTTTTTTGTTCAATAAAATTTGATAAATTTTTGAGTTAGAGAAAATATAGAAATTGAACAGATATAACATCAAAGGCATAGTGTCAAACATGTGACCTCAAAACGGGCTCACAGATAGATGAGTGAAAATAAAGTATTAAAGCATTTTAACATAAAGCTACTAAATACAAGAATTGAAAATGAAAAATTTTAGTAATTTGCGAATTTGAATTTTAGTAATTTGTGAATTTGAATTTATAATTTAAATGTGTTATAAGTGATAAGTCTAATTGGTTAAGTTAAATTAATAGCGATGATTTATTTGTATATATACTTAGATTTTTTTTATTAACCTTTAGCATGATCGCCACAGGTTGCCATTAGCATATAATTACTAAATGATCAATTTTTTATATAACAGATTCATTCGAATAACAAAAAGAAGCAAACATCTGATTTAATAGTTATTTTTTAGGTATCAAAAGTATTTAATTCTTTGTCTTTTTATATTATTGCTAATCTATTTTTTTTTTTTTTTTTTTTACTTTTAGTGTTTACTACGCTTATCAAAATCTGGTTTGCTGGTTGTAGTTTTGTAAGTTTAATTTTTTTAATTTTTTTGCTTCTTTTATTTACCTCACCTCGTTACTTTTGTAATATAAAATTTAATTCTTTGTCTTTTTATATTATTGCTAATCTATTTTTTTTTTTTTTTTTTTTTACTTTTAGTGTTTACTACGCTTATCAAAATCTGGTTTGCTGGTTGTGGTTTTGTAAGTTTAATTTTTTTAATTTTTTTGCTTCTTTTATTTACCTCACCTCGTTACTTTTGTGATATAAAATTATATTACAAGTTATCTCTGATCATGATCTTTTTTTTAATTTAGTTACGTGTATCACATTTTCGTTGCTTAGCTGTGGGCACATTTATTCATATTTAAATTTTCAAGTTTGATTTTTGGATACCGATTTAATAATATTTGATCATATTTCCAGTCACTGTTAATTTAATATTTTAAGATATTAGTTTGGCTTAAGTTTTCGTTATTACAATTTTTAAATGATTAAATTATTGTTATATATAGTAACTGGACTCGTCAACTCGTGACTCGAATAACTCGAGTTTATCACAATTTGAATCATAAATTCGAAACTCGCGAGCTACTCGTGAGTTAAATTACTAATATAAAAATTATGAATAGCAATATTAGAGGTTTCAAAATTAGCGAAGTTTAAAAAAAATTATATTTGTAATTTTTAAATTAAAATTTTGAAATAGGAAAATGAATTAGTGTTTAAACTTTTTTGTTTATGTAGTCAAATAATCGTTAAAGCACTATTGATAAATATAATAATATAATAAGCTTACATTAATATAAATAGATTAATAGATCACTTATTTTGAAACAAATAATTCTTTTGGAATGGGTATCTGTTTTTTAATTTTGAAACCCTATTGTTTTTTTTTGTATTTGCAATTTAAAATATACTTTATTCGGCTTTATAAGAATTTTTAATGAATTTTTAATTTAATTGACTCGAATTACTCGAACTTCGATTCGAAAAAATAACTCGAACATATGATTCGAGTTAATTCGAAACTCTTCAAATTTTAATTCGCAAGTCACGAGTTTTCACGAGTCCAGTCTTTAATTAGGATAATGTCTGATCAACAAATTGAAGAATTTCTTGCAAAAGAACCTGTTAGTTAATGTCACAGTGTTCTCATTTATTCTTTAAAATTTTTTTTCTGATATAATTTTTCTTTTTTTGGAAACAGAAAGTTCCAGTAAAATTTAATCAAGATGTTCAAGGACTTGGAAAATATATTGGTACTGCAAAATCAAATGTAAGAATTAACTAATATATATGTTTTATTTCTATAATTATTATATATTTTAATTTTCCATTTAATGATAAAAGAATATTTCAACAAATCAATGTGTAGAATTACCATTTTATATAGCCGCGGTTTTGTTTAAATGGTTTGAAAATTTTATTAAATCTTTAAATTTATTTGGAATAAAAAATATAAGAATACTAATCAAACATATATATTTCGTCCTCTCAAATGTATATATGTGTAAAATAAAATATGTATTCCAAAAAAAAAAAGTCTGTTAGTTACAATGGATAGACCAGCATTCTTGAAAAATAAAATTATAAATGCATTACAAGTTAATCTATTAAATGTTAATTTACATATGTTATTATGCCCACAATTTTATACTTTTGCTATAAAATATTTAGAATTGTATCCTTTTCATTGTTTTTTTTAAAGAATTTGTTCAAATTAAACTTTATATTATATTCTGAAATTCCTTTCACGATTTTTGGAAATAGGTACAAAGATTCTGATTTAGCTGAAATTCTAATAAAAGTAAGCTTATCGATTTTATCTTTGATTTTTCTTTATTATTATTTTTCTTTATTAATATTATTTTTTTTCTTTTAATTTTATAGAGTAAGAAAGCTAGAAGTCTTGAAATATTTGATAGTGCAAAGAGAATTTATGAAGATCATAATGAATTTATCGAAAAATTGGATGATGGAGAGCAATTAAGTATGCTTTATTATTTATTATATTTATCAACAGCGCTTTAACGATTATTAGACTACATAAACAAAAAAGTTTAAACACTATTTCATTTTCCTATTTCAAAATTTCAATTTAAAAATTACAAATATAATTTTTTTTTAAACTTCGCTAATTTTGAAATCTCTAATATTGCTATACATAATT